ATACCTCCAAACCCTATTCCAATTATTCAGGCCCCTATATTAGCATAAGGGCCCCCTATTTTTAAGCGTGTGCTGTACGATTCACTCGGCTCCTGTCGGTTCCCAGTGCTGTGCTTGGAGCTTGACGGTTAGTTATAAGTGGAGTTACAAGTCCCTTAATTTAATATGGGTTGTAATTACAGTTGCCCTACTTATAACCCCACTTATAATCACCCATGAAACCTAAACCCTAAACTTCCTAAACCCTACTATAGAACCCTTTAAAGGAACCCTAAACCCTAAACCCTAACCCTAAACCCTTAAAGGAACCCCGTAACCCCACTTATAACTACCCATGAGCCTCCAAGTGTCCCATGCAAGGAGTTCGTGCAGGTGATGTGCAAAAAGGTGCGGTCCCCGGCTCGAGCCACAAGATTCTCGGAATCCCCTCAGGGTTTAGGGTTTCGGGGTTAGGGGTTTAGGGTTTAGGGAATGCAAACAAAATTAAATACAATGTAGCGTCTGGGTTCACTGCATTGAAACCGGGCATGCATCAGCAGATGCCCAGAGTCACCACAATGACAGACGGCCCGTGATAGCCTGAAGCAGAAACCGCGCAGACAAATCAGAATCGCAAAGACTAGATTTGTGACTACCTGTAGTCTCCATTGTAGGTCCCTTTTTGGTTAACCATTGCCATACAATGGGGAGTATAGGTAGATCTAAGATCTCTGTGCTCCGACTCAGCAAAGAGCCAGGTCAACACTGACTACACAGCGGATGAGGTCCGGAAGGCCTTCAAAGCCACTTGGCTGAAAAGTACAGCACCCACAGCTTCGGAGAAACAACAATCTCGGACAGTGCCTGCGTCTGCGTGTGTGTGTGTGTGTGTGTGTGTGTGCGTGCGTGCATAAATACAGATAAAGATTAGATGCACAAACCCGTGTATACATATACATATACATATACACACAATACCTGTCTATATATATATATATAGAGAGAGAGAGAGCTATATATGTTTGTATGTGTGTGCTTGTATTTGTATACAGATACACAGTCGATATACACACATACATCCATACATACATGCATGCATACATATATATATATATATATATGTATCAAGGTGTTTGCTGGAAGTGCCCCGGACGGCTGCATCCGTGTCAAAGACCTCGAGCACGCCCTGCAGGCACCGACGAACCGCGAGTTTCGACGGGCTTTGGGCAGTTTGCCATCTCTAAGTTCAAGACAGACTACTTGGAGGTTCATTGGTAGTTATAAGTGGAGTTATAAGTCCCCTAATATGGGTTATAATCACAGTTACCCTACTTATAACCCCACTTATAACTGCCCATGAACCTCCAAGTAGGGGGGACATCAAGTTTGATCCGGCGAGAGATCCCGTAGCTGCCAAAGGTTGTGGATCAGTTCGATGGTAGTGCCCTCGACGTCCTAGGAGGAAGCCTTTCCCCATTTTGACTCACTCTACCTTCAGATGCTGTTGTGTAATTTAGCTTGGGCTCCATAGCATATTGCATTCTCCTTGAAGTCATTGCTGTCATCCATCATCATCATCATCATCATCAGGATCATGCCCTGATCGTCGCCATAATCCTGCATCATGTTGTTCACCTGGCGTTGCATTGAGAGGGACATGATTGTTTCAGAGCCTGTGTCAGCGCAGGGTATTGCACCCCGAGCTCGCAGTGAGCGTCCGAAATGTAGGTGCCTAAATAATTACCTATACTAGTTTGGGGGTTCCTTATGATAATCATCGTATAACATATCCTGAAACCTTGCCCTAGAAATCCCAAATCCTACATCCTAAAGCAGGCCTCATGCTTTCCCTACAGCCTAAACAAGAAACTCAAACCCTGAACCGAAAGCCCTAAAACCCTAAGACCCTAAACC